TTCCAAGGGTTCAACAGCACCCTCCAAAGAGGCCCAGGGTGAAAAGGGAGAGGGGGAATGGTGAGTCATGGATCTACATGATCCACAAGGCCCTTAGCAGCTCTGCTTCCAGGTGAGTATGTGAGCTGGAGGGGTCAAAAGGCCTGCATAGCTCTCAATTGCAAAATGTAGGAAGAGACTCTGCTTCTTCTCATGAGTTTGCCTGCTTCTGGCCAACACAGCATGCAATAGCTCACACAGGATTCCACTCAAATGCAGTAACCTCTCCCCAAAGATTTTAGAAGCAGTAAAACATGAAAACCTTAAACTATAATTTAAAAACATTAAAAGATGTGTCTTCGTACCCTTTCTAAAAGCCAAGAGAGTGGGGGAGAAGCATTGTTCCTGAGGGACAGCGTTCCACACTGGAGAAAGCCCTTTCATCTGTTTGACAAATGGGCCTCACTGGATAATATTCTTTCCTGTGGATCTTAATAAACCAGGCAAGTTCAAAATGAGACAGGCATTTCTTTAGATAGCCAAGTACTAAGCCATTTATGGCTTAAAAGATTAAAAGCAGTGCCTTAAAATGAACCTGGAAAGAAACCAACAACCACTGTAGGTCTCTCAAAATACATGTCCTATACTGTGCCCTGGTTAGCGGTCTACCTGCCAGATTTTGCACCAGGTGAAGCTTCAGACACTTTTCAAGGGTGGCGTCATTCAGAGTTCATCAGAGTAGCCTAAACATAATGCATAGCAGGAAAGAAGGTGAGGAAAGCAATGAAAACATTCCATTCCACCAGAAGGGGGGATAGGTATGTCCTCCAGTGCTGAACATCTGGCTTTACCTGCAGAGAGCACACCTTACTGCTCTGCTATCTTATAGAAAGGTAAGATGTGCAGCAAAATCAATGCACATGGCCTAAATAAAGGCAGCTTACGTCAATGTCTCTGTGAATGTGCAGCACCTAAATGAGTAGATGTAAAATTTTAAAGGTCCGTCCAGATGATGCAGGCACGTTAGAGCAGTGCCCAAGAGGGGCTTGCTTCCAGTATTATCTCTGGAATGAAACTGGAGCAACATCTTTGTATCCTTGTGCCATTCAGAAGTATATTAGCTGGCCAGTTTTCATTTTAAAGTTGCATCTTTATTCTGCAAATCTTGTATTTTCAAGCTGGAGGCAAGGGCACAAGGGCATTCAAAACAGCAGTTCAACCAAAAAAAAACATGGATCTGACTCAGTAATTTATGGTTTTATGAAATGCATCCTCCTGAAACTTAGTTTTAATGTGCATATTTGGTCTTTCTCTCATAACATTCACAAATAAGACAGCTGCTGATGTGTGCAATGAAGTCCTTCCTATTTATGAACAGTGATACAGAAATCCCCAAAGATGCAAAGAATGTGGAAGGAGATAAAGCTAACCGTAAAAACACGATGTACCAATAAATAACATTTAAGGAAGTCATATATAGTAATTGGAATTATGTTAGCTTAATAATAATACAAAAATATTCCTAAAGAAGGTAGGACTATGACGGCTGTTTTTAAACCCTTTTCTTGTGGGAATCAAGCATTCACATTCTTGAACTGAATTTGACTTTGTGAAACAAATGGCATGAGCATATAGACATATTCCACGAATCCTCAAGTCTAATATCCAAAATCCCCTTTCTCTTTTGGGGTGACAAGCAAATGGAGTCAGGAAGTTCCTCTTAAGGAGGCATCCTTTGCAGTTCTGGGCACTTCTGGGCCAACGTCAGAAAGGGGGGTAGGCCACGAAGCAAGGTGAGGGTAGTCCAATAAACAAGAAAGTAGCCAGAACAGAAAAAGGTTAGGACAGCCCAACAAGGAGAAGGTTTGAGCAAAAACAGGTCCAACAGAATGTAAGTGTGGGAATGGGCTACAGCACACTAGAGACTGGCCTGAGGCAGCACCTAGAGGGCAGTGCCTGCCCTTATATAGCTCTTCCCCAGGGCTCCCAGGTGGTGTTCATCGGGGCTCTAGCAGCTGCAGCAGAGGCAGGGACAAATTCCGCAGCTACCAAAGCCATTATTCTGCTAGTAGGCCAGTGGATGTTGTCCTGGAGCTGCCCTGATCCTGACATCTGGAAGGTTTGGCAGCTGCAAGAGCTACTCTAGCCATCCAGTATGGGATTGAATTTCAGGGGAGTGGCTGATGGCATACATGCCAACAGTGGTAGTGAAGAGGGTGGAAACCATGCAAGCAGAGAAATCACTTGATCATCTGTCAGGCACATCCATATATGCCCAGCCGCCCCTTGAGATCAGCGGGAGAGGCCCTTCTCCGGGAACCCTCCGTGAAAGAAATTAGGAGGGTGGGTACTCGGAGGAGGGCTTTCTCAGTGGTGGCGCCTAAGTTATGGAATGCGCTCCCTAGAGAGGTCCGCCTGGCGCCGTCGTTATTTGCTTTTCGGCGCCGGGCGAAGACCTTTTTATTTAAGCGGCATTTTAACTGTTAATATTTTTTGATCTTATCTGGCCAGGGCGGCTTATTTTATATTGTATTTTTTGGATTTTTAATGTTTATATCTGTTGTAATTTATATTATAATTGCTTTTATTTATTGTTTGTAAGCCGCCCCAAGGCTTCGGTGAATGGGGCGGCATAAAAATGTTTTAATAAATAAATAAGTTGCTTGCTGTGAACTGTGAACCCAGCCAGTCTGTTGGATCCAGACTAAGTTAATTGTACTTTATTTCCATTGAGATCAATTGGACTTCAGTTATAACTTCAGACATAATTTGTCTCATTGATTTCAAAGGTCAACTAATTTTGATCCAGTCTGGTGTTGTCTGATGGGAGGAGAAAAGGGACAGGCTCATTTTGTCTATGGTATTAACCCTTTTTTTGCCCATGCAGGTTAGTGGACAGGACCATGCAATGTTAATGGAAGCAAGCCAGCAGTGACATTTGACTGGATCCCAACCTCAAGTATATACTGATTGGATCTGAACTAGCAAAGGTTAACTGGGAAACTGTTCTGAGACGGACAGTGTGATGTAAATATTGGTCCAGTGCATGGCTGGTGTAAAAAAAAATTGGGTGTAATTACAGCAGGAATTGCCAGAATCATACTCCCCTTACACAAATCTGTAGTATGACCACATTTTGAATACTTTGTATAATTCTGATCACTGCCACCAAAGAAAGATATTATATAGTTTGGAAAAGTGCAGAACTGGAAAATGAAAATAGCCAAGGGGTTGGAGCAACTCCCCACAAGGAGAAACCACAATATTTGTGATTGTTTAGCTTAGAAAAAGGATATGTGAGAGGGACATGTTAGAGGTGTACACAGTCATTCCTGGTGTGAAGAAAGTGAACAGGGAGACATTTTTCTTCATGTCTCATCTTAGTAGAACATAAGCTGGTCACTGCGTGAACGAAATACTGGACTACATAGACCATGGGTCTGACCCAGCAGAGCTCCTGTATGTTCCTATGGATCTCTCTGGACAGCAACTGGTTTTGCCCAAGGGCAACTGGTAGCAGCCAAGACAGGGTTGTGCTTAAGAAGCAAGCTGTCAGATATCGCTAAACAGCCTCCGATATACCTTCAGGTGAAGCTACCTTTTGTTCAGTCATACCTGTTGGCTGTCTGACTGCAACATACTGAGCAGTTATGAATTTTAAGGCCCACTTGCATTTTTGCATGCAAAAGATGCATTTTGTAGCTTTCTCACCTCAGGATGGAAGAAAAGCAATTGTGGCACTATCCTAGATACTTTCTGCTTTGATATTTATTTATTTATTTAATAAACTTCTATGCCGCCCCATTCGCCGAAGCCTCGGGGTGGCTTACAACAATAAATAAATACATATAATCATATAAAAACAATATAATTGGAAACGTCCTGACCAAAGATATAAAATCAATAAATAAGCTAACAATTAAAATGCCGTTTAAATAAAAAGGTCTTGGCCTGGCGCCGAAAAACATATAACGACGGCGCCAGGCAGACCTCTCTAGGGAGCGCATTCCATAGATTGGGCACCGCCTCAGAGAAAGCCCTCCTCTGGGCACTTACCCTCCTAATATCCTTCACGGAAGGTTCCCGGAGAAGGGCCTCTCCCACTGATCTCAAGGAGCCGGAGGGCACGTATGGATGTAAGCGCTCCTTTAGGTAACCAGGACCCAAGCCGTTAAGGGCTTTATAGGTAATAACCAACACCTTGAATCGGGCCTGGAATTCAATGGGGAGCCAGTGAAGCTGACGGAGAACTGGAGTCATGTGAACATAATGCCCAGTCCCCGTCAGTAGCCTGGCAGCTCTATTTTGCACCAATTGAAGTATCCAGACCGTCTTCAAGGGCATCCCCACATAGAGCATGTTGCAGAAGTCTAATTGGGAAGTTACCAATGCGTGTGTCACTGTCGCTAGGCAGTCGTTCTCCAGATAGGGGCGCAGCTGATGGATCAGCTGAAGCTGAAAGAAAGCGCTCCTCGCCACCGCTGTCACCTGAGCTTCAAGTGAAAGCTCTGGGTCGAGGAGCACTCGATAGAGCAAAACTATCATAGGGAGAAAAAGATACATGTTTTACATCACTTGATCACTATAATCATGTCACAAATGTGCCTAACACTTTTGCTAAGCCATCTTCTGTGGCATGTTTCAGTACAGTGTATCATGCACAGTGAACTGGGGTGGGAGAAATTCCCCTCTTTTCCTCTGACACTTTGTTTGGATTACAAGAACACAAAACGTGCTGTGATGATAGTTTAACAAGTCTGGTACCATTTACAAAAGTAAACTCTCCATCTTAAACCACGGCTGGGAGATTCACAAGTCCGCTGCTGTGATGTTTTGATTTAGCTGTCACAGGAAAAAGGCACTTGGGTTTAAATATAGCCTCCCCCTTCCCACATACCCCACTCTCGGCCAAGGCCTTTCCATTTGTATTTTGTTTCCTCAGCATTATTTTGCTTCTCTGTGAAGGTGGGCTGAGAGCAGAGCGAAACTGACGCAAGCTGAGTGGGCTGTTCCCTCGGTCTGGGAGAGCTCCCTCCGTCTCAGAAAGTGGGTACGTTACAAGAGTGCCGCGTACAGGCAGCATCCGCAGGACTGGGTCAGCCGCTCCTCTCCTGCGAACACCATCTGGGAGGCAGTCTCCAGATTCAGGCAACATCCACGGCTTCTGGGATCTTTCCTTTTTTAAGCGAGGCAAATCACTCCTTCAAATGAATGCTGCCTGACCCTCCCCAGGAAGAAAATGGGTACCGGGGATTATATCTGTATCACCATGACTGGAGGAGCACCTTGGGGTTTCAGACTTCAAGGGGGCAAGGAAGAAAAGCAGCCCTTGCAGATTGCCAAGGTAGGACAACCGCAGGCTTTCACTGCCTTTATCAGTGTGAAAAGGACAGGGAAGTTTTCTGTAAGATGCGGTGTTGTCAGTGGAAAGGCGTGTGTGTGATATTTGCAGTTTTAAAACCTCAATGAAATTTTATTCCAGCACTCATTTTAAATATGCAGTGGTATTCCCCATGTGTTCTTAGCAAACATCATGTTTAATTTTAAGAACATGAACATTTCCTAACCTTTCTTACCATGATCAAACAGTATAGAGATTTTTTTTTCTTCCTGCACATAAATATGCAGGTCCTCTGAGACGCTGATTGTTTTGAGCTCCTGTTGAAGTTGCTGAATGGTGTTGAAAGAACTCTGTACAGCAAGGGCTGGTTCTTGAGGTAGCAAACCCTCCTTTGATGAAAGATTTGTGACACTTTTCCTCTAGTCTTGGCAAAGGAAGAAACGCATGCCTGGGAGAGACAGTGAGAGAAAATCATGCCTACTGTTTCGAGGAAAAACGTGAACATGAAGTTTTAAACAAACTCACACTCTCTAGAATTGGCTTTATGGGATAGTGGTTATGTTCTGGTATATATTTCATGGATGGTAATTAAATATTTGGGATCCACTTTATGAATCATGTAAGAAATTTAACATGTTGCTGTGAAATCTTCTGCATCTAGAAGCTATTCGTAGGAATATTTTGCATTTTCTTATATATATATGAGAAAAAAATTAATGAGGATGGCAGGCATTGTGTTGTATCTGGGGAACAATTTTTCCCAGTTCAACAATTCTATATACATAACGTTTGAGACGGTAAGGTTTAGGATTCATTACCTTAAATCTTGAAGGATAACTTGAACTTATGAGGCAGTCTAATCCTCCATGTCTACTTAAAAGGAAGTTCCAATGCAACTCTATCCAAACTTATTTGGAAATAAGACTCTCTAAACTCAGTGAGATTTATTTCAAAATAAGCATGCTTAAGATCTCGCAGCATAGCCATATGCTGTCCCTGCGCAAGATATAGTATCATTTAATTCAGTAAAATTACCTTTTAAGTAAACATGTATAAGTTCAAGATTATGCACTTGAATACAGCTTGTTTCCAATAAAAGAAATAAGAATAATGAAGAGCTTTCATTGTCTCATATTTCTGTGAAACAACTATTTAGCAATATGATGTATTCTGCTAGCTGGAAGACTTCCAAGAGAAACATTAATACTTGCTGAAACCCTTTAGATCAGTTTGTTTTTCAAATACATAAAATATTATTTGGAACTATATGTTTCTAACTCTGTTAGAACAGTTAAATCTGCTTAGTCAAGGAATATTGCCTGTCATTCTCTATGAAAAAACTAGATCAGATTTTTCATAAACATGAAACCAACCTTACCATGAAACATTTTTGTAATTTATAGGTAGGTTTGTTGTTGTTTTGAGTAAAGAAAGAAAAAGAAAAAAGCTCTCTATGTCTTGTATCTGTTGTTTCACAAAAGATAGTGGAATCCTGCCATCTAGTGAAACTTTGAATAAAAGAAAGTAGAGAAAAACAATCTAAACTACTAATACCAACAGCCTATGCCTGAAATAAACCTTTTGGAACATTAAGTTCAGATCACAGGGATAAAAAGCAAAGACACTGCATTCTTGAACCAATCAAGGATCCTTTACAAGGACCCTCAAAGGATGCTTTCTTACAAGGCTGGCAGCTGCATCAGGAGTAAGATTTTAAACAATGCAAAGATTAGTGATAACCAATTGTTCTTTTGCTCCTATCACTAATAACTTAAGAAGTGTCTGGCCAAATCAAACAAGCGCAGATCCTTCTAGTCCAGGATTTGCTTTCTAACAGCAGCCAGTCAGATGGGAGAAGCTTGGAATTAGGGCATGAAAGTCACGGCCATCCCTATTTGCCCATAGCATTAGGTTTTCAGAGGTGCAGTACCTCTAAAAGTGATATCTCATTTTGCTCTCGTAGTAGGGTTTGCTATGCTTACCCTCCATGGATGCATTCATCTTTGCCATAATCATAATCTATTCATGTGCTGCTGCCCATGGTAAATATTAATACTAATAATATAATTAATGATCATTATTCCTATTAACAGCATTTCTACCTCTTCTTTAGTCAAAAAAGCCTTTCTTGATGTTGCTCACGATAACTTACATGCAAAGAGTATTTTAAGATAATCTACTAATAGTACAATCCAGTACATATTTAGAAAGAATAAATGTCCTACAGCTCCCAGAATTCTTAGCCAGAATGGCTGACCACAGAACTCTGGGAGTAGTAGAACCTTTTCCCATTCAAACATGCACCATATTGTACTTTAACAGGGTGATTCCATGGCCCTTGGAAAATTGCTCTGGCCTTGGAGCAGGGGATCGACACTCAGATCCCGAGCCCTCATTGCAGCCTTTGTGGGAAGAACCACATCAACTGCTTCTCCGATGTCATAAGAGAGGCCTTGGAGAAGAGGCAAAGGAGACTGGGAGGGGAGGAAATGGGCTGTACTGGGATACAAGTTTCCTGGCAGTGTTCCAGCCCCCTTTTCCCCCAATCTAAATATTTTCGGGGTGGGAGGCATAACAGAGGTCACAATCACCTCCACACTCTTCCTGCCCTGCATGGGTTGCCCATAATCCTCCTAGTTTGAAGGCTCATGGCATCCCCAATGGATCACAGCCTAAACATTTGGAATTAAGAAATTCCGACAATCATGTTCACCAACCCGATAATTCATTTCTAAGAGTTGAAAAAATAAATCATATGTTCCAAATAGAAGCAAAGATACATCTTATCCAAGGCTAAATGTTGACCCTGGCAACAACTCATAATGAAGACCCTAACCTCTTGAGGTGTGGGCCAGCAGGAGCAGTACTGACAGCAAGAATCAGTCAGGGCTCTGCCTCGCAGGCAAAGTGGAAATGGAACACGGGAACTGGAACTGGTTTTGCAGGACCCAACAGCCAGATGGTCCTTCTTTGCCAGTGGCTAAAAACTCAACTCGTAGGCTGCATTCCATAAATAAATGTAAATGTTGCATGAAAGAGCCCTTGAGCCCAACCATTGCCATGCTCCATTTAGTACTGAATAAGTAGATATATTTACACAAATCATTACAGTTTCTTGTCTGAAGGAATACAGTGAAGTATTACCAATACTTAACCTGCATTGTCTTCTGGTTAAGCCTTGCTGAAATGAATGGCTGCAACTCAGCACTAGTGCCTGGTGTTATCTTTTCAGTGAAAGCAGGGAAATGTCTTTTTGTTTAAAGTGAATTCTAGTCCACCAATAATAAATGTGCTAGTCCTTCAAAGAGCTTTGATAGAATGGTTATAAACATGAATAAAATACCACCCCCAGGTTAATTTTGATAACTTGTAAAGTTATATATATTTCCTTCTCAGTGTGTTAATGTCCTTTTCCTAATATTATCTGCTGACTTATATGCTGACAGTCTGAGGCATTGATTATATTGTAAATGGAGATGAAATGAATTTAATTAAATTGTTTAACAATGGCAATCTGAAAAAGGTAGTTTGCTGAGATGACACCTCACAAACAACCCATGCTGGTCATGGGACTCCATTGGGTTAGACTCTTTCCCAGCATATCATTGGTGTATGAGGCAGAGGGAAGCCTGCCAAACTTCCTTCCAGTATGTTCTGCTATCAAAATTTCCCAGGAGAACTAGTGACTCAGCAGATCTCCGGGTCTTGCTCTGACATCCAGGCTGTTCAAAGAAACTGCAGGGTCTCAAACATGGATGGCATTAAAGCTCTGTGAATTACTTCAGCCTGTTTGGTTCTGGAATTTTTAATCTTACATATATGTCATTATTCTCCATTTATTTGTGATAACCACCTGAGGAATTGCTTTAGCCTTTGGTTTACACAAGAGATGACCCCTAGGCCAAAGTAAGCTTCAAGCAAATTTATTATCCTGCCAAGACCAGAGGTTATTGACTCATCCCTTTAATTCTGTTCACATGGTTTTCCAGCTTTGTAGACTGAAAACATGGAAGGAAATCATCATCAAGCTGCTATCCCTACCCTTGACCTTCACATATGGGCTATGCTGTGATCAGAGAGAGCCTGCAGGCAGCTCTCCTCACAGCATCAGGGATCTTCTTTGGGTATTGTATAACTGGAATGCCATTGGTGAAAAAGTCCTCATCCCTGTAGATGATCTTCTTCATACCTCAGATCATCATCAACAAACAAACAAACAGGTTGATAGGAGAGTAAGTATCATGAAAGGAACCTATTGGACCAATGAAATTATTGCACCTTATCTGAAGAGTAGCGCCATGGTTTACTAGAAAACTGGTAAAGAAGGCACATATGCTTTGATGATTCCAGTTATCTACTGGTAACTTCAGGGGTGGTGCTAGATACCAAAATGATTCAAGGCTGAGTCCTACCAGACCAAAAAATAAATTGACCCCTCCTTGCACGCATGCACACATTAACGTACAATCTCTGTCTATGTGTCTTCAGAGGTCTCTGTCGCCTTATTTCATTTGTCCATGCATCTCTATTTATAACAAGTAATGCATAGGCAGGGGAGAGGATGACCTTTGCTTTCAGGAAAAAATATGGGCAGATTGGTGGGGGCAGCAGGAGGTGAAGCACATGTGGGCAAAGAGCCAGCTAATCCAACGGAGATTCTTAGGGCCCCTGTACTTCTATTTCAGGACCTGCCCATGGGCAGCAGGATGGCAAGTTAGATGGCCTCCCAGAGAGTCAGGGCTCCAGCATTGCTGCATGGCTTCCATCATAGCTCTTCCCTCCCATTCAGGTCACTTGAGAGCTGCTTATGATTAGCTGTGGTGGCAATCCTGTACACATTTATCTAGGATAAACCCCATTTAACAAAGTGGGATTTATTTCCATGAAGACATGAATAACATTGTGCTGCTAATCGCTATACAAATGGCTTGTCTGAATCCTTCCTGTCACATTGAGAAATTTATCACAGATGATGGAATGAACTGAATTATACCACCCAATGG